AAGCACAGGAGATGACTCTCTGCCCACTAACAACTAGATCCATAGTTAGCAGCACATAAATGATCCTAATAGTAAGTCTCAATGATTACCAACATACAGGTTGAGGTAATATTTGCTTGATACACCTAATTTAAGATGTAGTTTGTTTAAGGAGGTGACCTAATTGAGCGATCGAGACATATAAAATGCAAGCTAAACCAACAAAAAATATTCTCTAAAATGTCGAGCCATCAATCTTCACATGCAATTATCTTAAGTAAAAAATGTGGTAAAGTTAAAACACAAGATTCAAAGGTAAAACTTGATTAAAAGCCTTGTTTTATTTCATGATTAATTTTCCAAGTCACATGCAAAGCCAAGGTCGAGTCAAACATTTGAAGACCTTCCATCGTCTTCAACACTCTTATCATCTTCCTTGTCCAAACTCAAGAGTAGTGTAGCAAATTCATTCAAATTATACCACTTGGAGGAGATGACCCTGATCTTTATAAATTATTTGATTGTTAAGGAGGTCCCGACTCGTAGCTATGTGCTAAGGGCCACCACCTGCTGAGGGTGGAAAGAAATCACATAAAATAAACTCTTTTTTTTTTCAAAATCTCCATCCTTTCTTGCAGAGATTGATTTTCTCCATGTGACTAAGTTTCTAGCTTGTTAATGCTCTCACTTTAGCCACTTTTGCTTGTTCCTCCAAAACTTTCACCATCTTATCCACCTTAAACAAAAATTTCTCTAATGAAAAGAGGAGCAATGCTTGAAAATGTGTAGCCTCCAAGGCCATCAATTGATACATGTCAACTACTTGGCATAAACCCAAGAGACTGTGCCCATGAAAGAATTACTCAAAACCATGAGACCATAGAATTTTGTTGATTATTTTGGGATAGAAGGACATGAAAGTGGAATCTGAAGACCGATCCCTCCTTAGATTGATCAGGGCAAAATGCTTGTTGGAGCTAGTGCACACCTTCACCCTCTTCTCTTGACAGGCTTCCATGCTGGTGGAGAACCCTTCCATTTCTTCCATGGATGGAGAGGAGGTGAGACACTCAAACTGATAGTTGGAGAATTTCCCTTCCAATAGTATAACTCTTCTTTTTAGGAAGTTAGTTCAGGCTCTGGGGCTCGGATGTAGATGGGGTGACAGGAAACAATGAACATGCTTTGCCCCTCACCGACACCTCAATAAATGTTGGAGTGGCCAAACAAGGGGTCACTAAAATAGATTTTAGTTTTTTTTTTGTGGCCTCCCCTTTAGTTCCATTGCTTCTAACCAGCTCGAGGTGCACTTAGATCCTTTGTACCATGCACTCAAGAGCCCTGCACATTATAAAGTACTTTTAGCTTTCTTCTTGATAAGAACTATTTTTCCTGTGGCGATCGTTTGAATTAAAATGAAAGACTCAAATATAGAAAAAATTTAGTCCGCACCTTCAACAATCTGTTCAACAAGGGCCACCACTGGTACCTCTTTGCCCGCTACCACAATAGCTTTTTGGGTGGGTAAGCTCCACTCGAGCAATCGCTCGGAATTTCTCCTTGGTGGCCTGAGCAGTAGTCGTCACCTTCCATTCAACTTCTTGGGAATCCAAAGCCACCTGGTGCTCCTTTGTCATCTAACCATATTTATCTGACTGCAATACCTAATTAACAACTATCAGGTTAAGGTAATAGTAAATTGAAAGCTGTTGTCCTTCAATTTCTACTCCTTCAACCCGGATTAAATTTGACACCATCTTTTCCTTCCTGCTATGCCTTCTATTAGGATGGTATGGATGTCCCAACCAATGACCAAAAAGTCAATAAAAAAACATAATTTCAAGTTCTTTATTTTGTTCTCCAAGCCCACTAATTGGAACTTACTGAGTAAGTCAAACCACATGGAACCTTTTGGACCTACCCAGAGGGAGAACATATAGGTAAAAAGCTTTGTTGACCATAGAACTCCCACTCGGCAACGAAAAATAGCCTATGTCATGATGGAGGCAATGGAGTTTGATAGAATTTAAGCAGGGATGATGCCATAGTGGTTAAAGATGACCTGCAACTCTCGACAAAAAAAACCCTCAAACCAAATCTGAACAGGTCTCGTTAAAATATAAGGTCATTCCCCCCCCCCCCCCCCCCCCCCCCCCCCATGGCTCCAAGCTCCATGGCAATATTGAAGACAAACATTTATTGTAGTGGCGCGACGTCCCCCATTGTCATTGTCAACCTCAACCTCTTGGTCACGACTACCAACCCGATGAATTATAGAGAGTACTTTGGAGCCTTTCGAACGAAGCACAGAGGGTAGAATAACAAAAAGTCAGGAGAGAGCAAAGAATAATAAAGAAAAGGATACTAAAATCCTACCTCCATAGTCCTTGTCAGGGTAACAGTAGGAGTGGAAACATCAAAGATAGATAAAAGTAGAACTGTATAATAATTTCAAAAAATGTAATAACATAAACATCACATCAATGCAGAATTCAAAAAGAAAAAACAAATTTTATTTCGAAACTATACATTACAAAGTACACTCAGAAGTTAATCCGAAAGAAAGTATTTTACAAGATGATCATCAGCTGCCTCACTTACGATAATTCCCTTCCAATGAAACCTCTTATACAAACTTGTCTCCAAAATTTAAACATCCATCTTGATATGTGCCCATTATACAAAGGAATCCTCCTGGGCTTCTGAAAACTCCAAACAAAGGGTTTTCATCTCCTCCTCCATCTTCTTCATGCGAGCAAACAACTCACACAACTCATCCTCTTGTTGAATACCGAACACACGAGCAAAGGATTCCTCAATCTCATCCAGAAATCAAGCCAAGAATCTGAGAACATCTGACATCCATTACTTGTTTCCACTAGGGCCAAGCGACTCCCAGCCGAAACCTGGGTTGCCACAACTAGCTTTGTGATCAAATTTGAATCAGTGTGTGCCAGAGGTAAGTCAAATCCTAAGTCAATTAGACTAGCTGCACTGAGAAATGATGTAAGATCAATGAAATAGATAAAAACTAAAACTTAACAATCATGACCAAGGCTCTTCATAATAAGAAGTTGATCCAACTCAATCGTTGTAATTGAGATGGTTCCTTCATGAGAGGTGGCAAAGCACACTTAGCTTTTTGCTTCTTGGGTGGCGATAGAGCACTAGCATCCTACATAATCTATCCAGTCGCCAGTCTCAACATGAGTTAGAAGCTTGATACAATGGATCATCACACAACACGCCTAGTATGCCTCCATCATCCGCTCGATTTTTCCATTGTCAAAGATCAAGATATGATTCAAACGATTTCATTTGATTCATTGGCTCATTTGTTTTCTTCTTTTTGGAAGCGAGTGGTTTCTTTTTCTTCTTTTTCTCACCTTTTGGACGGTGTCACCCTACTAGATTCTCGAAGGCAGCAAGAAGCATCTCCCTGCTTGAGTGCTCATTTGGAAGATTTGAGACATTCTATATGATAACACTTGGAAGTTGAGTGACTTAGACAAAGAGATGAAAAGCAAATATGTAATGTCAAAAGTCTCGTAATGCCTTATTTATAAGAATCAAAGTTGAGGAGATTTAGAAAGTTCAATTATTGAAGCACTAATGAAGAAATTAATGAATTATGTCTTTTGCATTTAGTTCGCTTATTCTTTTCGCAATATCAGTTTCAAGAAGTAGGAGAATTGGTGAACTAAAATCTGTATCTCATAAATGTGCCAGCATAGAACCCAAGGAGATTTAATGGTTCAAAAGGAAGAGAGTAAGACAAAGGAGGGCATACCAGCAAAAGTCCAAAAGACCCGCTTATCCGATTTGATGTAGTTGTCCAAGCTAGAGAAAGCAAGGCCAAAGTAGGCCAAGTCAAGGAGGAAACTGAATTCGAGTCATGTGGTCAAGAACAAGACATATTTTCAAGCCAATCGTTATGAGAACACTAACTGAAGAATGCAAATTACATACCGATAGATTTGACCCGAAGAAAGAATTCAGATTCCTTGCTATTACCATCCATCTCCCGAACATGTCTGAGACTCTTCGTCACGGACCAAGAACTGACAATACAATAGTCTTATAATCATCCCAAAGGATCTCCTCATCGAAGAATTAGCTATCTATCGGGTTATGGTGATTCACCCTCTGCTCGATAGCCCAACCTCGTCCTACTAACATGAGCTTCTCATTTAGAGATCAAGATTCGATAACCAGACTATATCAAACAATCGACGAAGCCTAGCCGATCAATTCAATCTTGCCGACCAGAAGCTAATAAAGCTCAGCCGATCGGCTGCAAGGACTTAGCCTAGCTGACTGAGTTAGTCTTACCGTCTAGACGCTAATCAAGCTCACTCGATCGTCTGCATGCGCAAACTTAGCCTAGCCAACCAAAACAACCTTACCGACTCGATGCCAAGCAAGCTTGACCACCTGAATCAGAGAACATCATCTCAATAGGCTCATGTATGTGATATACCTTGTTTATCTTATACAACGTTCATTAAAGCAAGAGTATACATGTAATATCAATATTTTATACACCCCAAGCAAGCTTGACCACCTGAATCAGAGAACATCATATCAATAGACTCATGTATGTGAAATACCTAGTTTATCCTATACAACGTTCATTAAAGCAAGAGTATAAATGTAATATCAATATTTTATACACCCTTTTTCTATAAATATAGAAAAATTTCTCTCCTATTTCTTATGCTCTATTCTTTAAGGTGAGATTCACAAAAAAAAATCAAAATTCAACACACACACAAACACACAAACACACACACACATATGCAATTTATTTATTTTTTTTCAACTTTAAGGCCATCTCCTTCACATAAAAAGATTCCAATGAATATCTGTTCTACAGTTAAAGCCAGATTGACTTAAGTCGGCGAAAAAATCAAAATTCCAAAATTCGATGAGCACACCCCACAAAAGTTTCATTTTTTTTAAATGTCAAATATCATTATTTAAATAAATATAAATGTTTTAAAATCAAAATTTGACTCCTCTCTCTAAAAATAAATAAATTTCAGCTAAATTTAGATCCCTCCCAACCTGCAGTCTACAAACAAACTAAAACCATGGGAGAGAAACCTCCCACTCCCCTTCATATCCACAACTACTCCTACCCTTCTTCCTTCCAACCATAAACCCACAAGACGCAAAACTCCCACCTTTTACCTCCCCATCATGCCCAATGAAGAAGACTTCAACGAATCAATGTCTCTCCGCACCACCGCCGCCGTCCATTCTCCGGCGGCCAAACCCAAAGGCGGTGCCGCCCGCCTCCTCTCCATCCTCCTCCGACTCCTCGTCATGCAAACTCTCCTCACCTTCTTCTTCCTCTTCGCCGGCATCGCCGTTTTCATTCTTATCTTCCTCGGCATCGCTGGAAAGGTCCTCCGCCACCGCCGGCGAGGCCGCCGCAGTCTCTTTCAGCAGCCAGTCGCCGAAAGGCGCGGCCTTTCTCGGGAGGAGATTCGCCGCCTGTCCTGTTTCAGATGCTCTGTTTCAGGCGGCTCGGATGATTGCGTGGTGTGCCTGGAGGGCTTTAGGGAAGGAGATTGGTGCAGAGTTCTTCCGGATTGCAAGCATTCTTTTCATCGAATCTGCGTTGATCGATGGCTGGAGAGATCCAAGTCCTGTCCGCTCTGCCGGCGCAGCGTTGCTGCTGGGTGAATCTGATATAAGCTTTTCCAAATGTTTTAATCATTTTTTTTTCTGATTTTGTTCAGTTTTGATCCTGGGGTTAATATGATTGTACAGAAGGTGGAAGATTTTCGCTTTTGAAATATGAATCTGGCTGTGTATATATAGATAGATTTGCTGATTTTATGGAGTGTTTTAGAAGGAGGAGAAAAAGGGATTGTTTTGTTTGATAGAATTGGAGGAGAGGAGATGGAAAGGTTTAGAACAAAGATGCAGACTTTTAGAGGAGACGGTTTTGGTTTTGCAGGGCTAGATTTTCCCGTGAATCGGCCGTGATAGTATGTATTTTGGGGGTGTTTAGTTACTTCCGCACGATTCTCGTGTATTTTATTATTTTTATTTTGAAAAATATGGAACAAATATTACATGAAATCAAGCTACGTGGAGGCGACATAAAAAAAAAAATTCATTTTAGCACATGAGAATATTCTTCCCGTATTATTTTGCATTATTCAGGTGTTATTGTGGCGATATTCATGTACTATTATATTCTGGGAATATTCTCAGTATTATAATAACACAATAACACATCAATACCACCACAATAATACCTGAATAACGTGAAATAACAAGAGAGAAATATTCTCTTGTATTATCGAGCTGGATCATAAGAAAACGAGTATTTTTTTTCTGTCAACTCCACGTGGAGGTTATTCATTGGACTCCAAACGCATCTCTATGTTTCGAATCTGGACTTAATAATTTTTAGAAAATATGCGGGCCGTATTTAACTTTATTGGAAAAAAAAATCGACCCCGACATAAATAAAAAGAAAAAAAGAGAACAACTAGGATAATACTAAATTTTTTAACATTATATTTTTAAAATAAAAATTATGATTGTAAAGTATATAATAAATATAAATATATGTTTTAGATGTTAAATATGTAAATTCATTAACAATATCTGGAATGTGTGTAAATCTCTTGGAGCAAGTAACATTCATATATGCATGTATACATCTGCCAATCTACATATTCAAGTTAGCGAATTTGTGCAAAAATTTTCTCAAGAGAAAATTCTCAAAATCAATTTAGAAGACTATGAATTTCAAATTCACGATCCTTGAAATAGTTCAATATAGTTTATATAAATATATATATATATA